CCCGTTGCTTCCCAGGTGCCCGTGGTGAAGGTGTCAGCAGAGGAGTATGGTGGGCCGAAGTAAGGAGCTCTCCTCCTCTCCTTGCTGTTCGTCTTTTTGTGCCGTCGTGTGGAGTTTGGCCAGGCCTTGCTCGGTCGGTTGGGTGTTCTCAGCTGAGTGTTCTCCTGACCAACGGCCAGTGGGAGTTCAGCTCAGCTCTAAACGTGAGAAGGAGAATTAGCTCAGCTCAGCTGATGTTCTGTCGGTGACTGGTTTGGGACATGATGTGTTCATGCCCTTGAGGGGTTGGTTTGGTTGTTTTGTTTTCCCCCCTTAAGGTAGAAACTTGCTTCGTGTTCTCTGAAGGAGGTGGAAGCATTAAGTCCACCTGTGGTGAAAGTCAGACTGTATCTCACTTGACAGACACTTTGAGGTTGCCTCAGAGAGGAGCACTAGCAGGAGGGACACGATATTCCAGCTGAAGATGGGGATTTTATTCAGCTGTTGAATTTAAGTTCAGTCAAGGCTCTCTCTCGTCGTTCTTCCCTCCCCAAGCAGAGCATCTTCTACATGAAGGTGTTCTTGTGACAGTAAATGCTGCTCTCCTGCAGGTTTCCTAGCACTCTCTTCTGCATTTTGTGTTCCATGAGTTCCAAGAACAACCCATTCTGTGTTTATCCTTATTGGTTTCCTTTTGATTTATATTTTTGTTTTTGGTTTTTGCTTTTGTGTCTTCACAGTGGGCTCCAGTCACAAATTGTAATGTAAGCGAAGTATTTATATTTTTTATTTTTTTTTAGTCAGCGATTGAAGATCTCTAATCCATTAACAAGTTACTAACTTAGTGCAATTTAGCAGCTTTGGGGCTGGACCTGAACTAAGCTGACTTTTTAACCCTATTTCATTTCCACCCAGACAGGATGGTAAGGACTTTTGCTATTGGCAATAAAGAACCCAAGAGGAATTTGTTCCCCTGTGTTTCACAGCTATAAAACACTGATTTCTTTTTTTTTTTTTTTTTTTTTCGGCAATATTTGAATCTTTGTGCAG